CCAACCTGGACGTGCTGGGCCAGCACAACATCACCTACATCCTGAACGTCACGCCCAACCTCCCCAACATGTTTGAGCACGACGGCCACTTCAGGTACAAACAGATCCCCATTTCGGACCACTGGAGTCAGAACCTGTCGCAATTCTTTCCAGAGGCCATATCATTTATTGGTGAGTACGTCCACATCTCACTCGTTTGGGTCTAATGAGATTCTGTTGAAAATATAAATGTTAGATTTATTTAGTTCTCGTTTCCAGGACGTTTCCCTTATGGTCGGACACATTTTTGTATCGTTTAAACTTGTAGTTTTTTATCACTTTTATTACTAACCTGACCATCAGAAATAACCCAACAGTTCAACAAATGTGCTTTTAAATTCATGTTAAAGTGTGCTTAACAGCTATAAACTGCTTTAATGTAGAGCAGCAAAACAAATGAGTAGAAATATAACAGCCTTGTACATACTGGGTACAAGTATATCCTGTTACGACATGTTAGGGACTTGTTACAGTGTACTTACAGGGTACTTACCAGGCTGTATTTTGTATTACTACCCACACACACAAAAAAATACCCAAACGTGTATTTTTTTTTTTTTGTTTTTTGTTTTTTGTTATTGTAAGGCAGCTTCAGAACGTGATGTTTCAGTTTTGCTTTTGGTTTGGTGTTTCTCACCATGACAGCACCTGAAACCCCAGATATTCACTTTTTTTAATCAGTTGCCGTGTTGTGCATCACGAACTAGTTTCTAAGTCGGCTCAGACAGAAAAAGAGGAAGGAAGTGATGTTTCCACTCAACAGGGTTGTGTTTAATTCCAGTTTTACAAGTTGACAATTGTTTGCTAAATGGATAAAACTAAAAGGAATCTAGTTTTTTTTTCTGTCAAGTATGATATCTAATCCCACTGACTACCAAAATGAAGTGGATAATATTATAATACAAGTGTAGGTTTAAATGATCTGAAAAGATTATACGTCATATTTACAACAGACCTTCTCTGATCCTGGGTTCTGTTTTGTTTCCTCCGACAGACGAGGCCCGATCGAAGCGCTGCGGCATCCTGGTGCACTGCCTGGCCGGCATCAGCCGCTCGGTGACGGTCACCGTGGCCTACCTGATGCAGAAACTCAACCTCTCTCTAAATGACGCTTACGACTTCGTAAAGAGGAAGAAGTCGAACATTTCCCCAAACTTCAACTTCATGGGCCAGCTCTTGGACTTTGAGAGGACGCTGGGGAGGCRCACGCCCTGCGACAACCGCTCCACCAGCGAGCAGCAGCTCTTCTTCACCACGCCGACCAATCACAACGTCTTTCAGCTGGAGTCCACATGAGGAGCAGGAAAACAAAYCGTCGTTTGGGTTGTTGTTTTCTAACYCTGTCAGCTGCTTCGCTCGCCGATGCAGGCAGAAAGTCGGTGACGGCGTTCAGCACCAGAACCAACGTTGTTTGTTTGTTTTTTAAAGAACTAAACGTTTTCAAGTCTCGATGCCTTAACATTTAACACAGGAAAGATGTCAACTTCCCACCACACACTGAGTTGTTAAAACAGTATAATTACAGGACATTTCTTCTTTTTTTTTCTACGTTTTCTCTGCATTTGTTACGAGTTTTTGCCTTTGTGGTCTAAATCCAGTCTTTGGCCGATCAGAATGTTTTCTGGGGAACAATCTGAGGTGGTTTTTATTTTTTTTTTTTTTTTTACTCTAGCTGATGATAAGCTACCGTGCTGATCCATTGAACACTTACTGATGGCTGTTTTGTAATCACAGCAGAGAGCTTTCTTTCTTTTTATTTTTTTACAGAATATACTCACTAATATTTGATAAGCATTAATAGACTTTAAATTCAAGTAAAATCAGGCGTCTGTATATATTTAAACAGTATTTTATTATTATTATTTTTTARTTTGAATATTTTATTCTGCAGAGGCCCTCTGGTATTTTATCCTTCACAACTGCATTATTTACATAAGGTCTTGTTTCCACAAGGATCTTGTTTTGTAATGTTTGATGCTGAGGCCTTGGCCGCTCTGAAATGTTAAAAAAAAAAAAATGATCACAGCGTTAGTAACCACGCTGAGGCAAAATGTTTAGGACCGGCTTCCCCCACAGTCAGACGCCCACCTTACAGTTTCCTTTGACACTCTTCAGCCTGCAGCTCCTCCTCCTCCTGTGGCTCGTCTCTACAGCAGGAATTAACGCATATAATGCCAGTCTTGACTATGAATGAGCGATGAATGAAAGGAAGTACCTTTTTGACCAGAGTGTTCTTACCTCAACGCCAGACATTTTCAGGGATTTATTTTGTTTTTTATATATATATACCAGTTTGACTGCATGTCATCTTGGCCTCTTAAAGTGCACTCAAGGGCTGTCTTGTTTCGTATGTTTGTAAAGATGTACATAAAACTTGTTACGGGGGGACGTTTTCTCTAAAATCATGAAGGATATGGAAGTGACCCTTTCGAAACCTTTATGTATAGCGACTATAAAGCTAAACGTCCAAGGCATTCTGTATAGGTTTTTACTGCAAATAAATGGTATATTTTTTACTTAAAATGAGTTTCTTTTCTTTGCCTTTGTTCAACGCGTCGTACTGAGCAGCCTGTTTTTGAAAATCAAAACGAAAGTGACTTCATGAGTCATACACGGTGCTTTTGAATCTAATGTCCTGTCCTTTCTCGATAACTGCGGTTACACCTTTATTATTATTTTTAAATCCTGATGCCCTGTTTTCTGGTCTCCCATATTCCGTCTGACACAAAGACGAGCGACAAGCCTCATTCTGTCCAAACCGCAGACACACCCGCCAGCTGCCACTCAAACAGCCCTTAAAGAAAAAGGAAGATGAGACAGCATTTATTCCACAGCAGATAAAAGACTTCCGACAGCCCTCCTACGCAGTGTGAATTAAAGCGTTACGCCACAGCTTTCAGCTTTTTTATTCACTCTGTGGCTTGAAGTTTAACTGACTAAACCACAACATCCTGTAACGTTCTTCTGAAGGGCAAATGAGGGGTTCCGTTGAGTGTGAACAATTAATATCTTACTGGTTATAGATAGCTCTTTATATGGCTAGAGTTAGGAGGAATGGTTTAAATATGGTTACACTGACGAGATGGACTAGTCTGAGAAGGGCCAAGACTTGGCACCATTATTAATTTTGCTTTACGTGGTTGTTTTCAAGCAGAAATGGATTCCTGCTTAAAGTGCTCCAGAAGTGAAACAGCTGCTGCCTCCAATATTTGCACTCGCAAATAGCCCAAGATTTCCAGATATTCAGAACATGAGAAATGACTGCAGCGTAAAGGTTTATAAAATTGCTTTTTACATAAACCACTGTATAATGTTTGATAACTGACTGTTATAAACGTTCAGTTGTTTTTGGTCCAAACCTGGTTAGTCCAGAGGTGTGCTACCTGTGGCTCCTTGGTTCCTCTGTAGCAGCTTAGAGCTTTGCCTAAAAACCAGAAAAGGTGAGTCATCGCACCTTCAAATTTTTTCACAAATGAGGAAATTAAATAATATATTTAATATATTGTTTAGATCAGACGTTCTCAAACTGGGGTCCCAGGACCCCTAGTTGCCCGCAAACTGTAGCTTGGGGGTCCTCAAAAAATGTCGATAAGTTGTTGATTTTGGATTGTGTTTTTATTTTTTTGAATTGTATGTAGGACAATATATATGGAGGTAAATTTGTGTTTTTATTATTCAATCAAACAAAAAGCATCTTCAATCAAAAAAATAATTTCAATCAAAAAAAATTTTTGATTGAAATTTTTTTTTTGATTGAAGATGCTTTTTGTTTGATTGAATAATAAAACACAAATTTACCTCCATACATATACAAGTAAAACAAACCAAATAAAATACAATATTATTCCCATGTCATTTAGGGGTTAAATCGCAGTAAATTATTACGCTTTAAATATATATATATATATATATATATATATATTCACTATTCATATATTGTATTATTCATTATTCCAGCTTATTCCACAAATATCCATTTATTACAGGTTATAAATCACTAAAATAAGAAGTTCTACCAGCAAAATAGACAAAAAATTTTACACTATAAAAGTGTTTTAAGGCAATGTAAGAGACTTTCTTGGACAACGTTTTGTGAAGATGTTAAAGGGCCTAGCGCCTCTTCTAAGCTTTACAAACGTCTCAGAAAGGATCCAGTCAACTATCTATCCTTCATTATTCCACCAGAAGGATGGACAGTCACACAGACAAGTGTGCTTCAGCTACACATCTCTCCAGTTTTGTTTTCCCAAATCGTCCTTTAATTTATCCAAAGCTTTTTTTTATGTGTTTACTGTTTTTTTCTTGATTGTAACTACTTTTCTAAACTAATTGTGCTGCAGCTGAAGCTTCAGCTTTCTGTCTTTTTTAATCCTTTATTGAAAGTTTCCTAAGATGACTTTGGTTTGTTGCTTTAAAAAGGAATTAACTGAACTACTGCATTCTTAGCACTAAAATGTAAATTATGTGCCTGGCATTCCTTGAAGGTACGCATGTTTCCCACCCTCTTTAATGCTATTTTTGTGAAATAACCTATTTTGAGAAAAGATGGATTTATTTTGGTAAAATCTTTTAAAACAATGTTACGTGTGATTTAATGCTCATATGTGAATCACACTGCCCTGCTCCCACACGAAGTTGGATCTTGCTACTTTTGTGTTTGCTAATTTAAACTAGCTGTGGCGACCATATTCAACCGGACTGACTTCAAAATGTAATCAGGTGTAGAAGCACATCCACTGATTATATTGTGACGGTTTCATTAAAAACCATCAGGAGGTTCATGAGATATTTTGCTAACAGACAAACTGTTGACTCAGTTAATGCAGAAGTTCTAAGTGAAGATTTTTTTGTGATAAAAGCAAGTATTATTAACCCTCAGCTACAATTGCACCAAATTTGATCAAAATATCTGTGAAACTGACTAAAAGTGATTTTTGTGGGGGGGGAGGGGGGTTAAATCCGCTGACAGTGGCGGCCATCTTGAATCAATCTGACTCCAAAAATTATGAAACTAAATTCACTAATTCGTTTCTGGAAGTGGTTTATAAGATGTTATGGTAAAAGAGACACAAAAACATTATAAGCAGCATTTTGTTTTTGTGATTAGAAAAAAAAATACATGAATAGGTGCAAGACCTAAAGGCAAAAGAAACAAACCAGATTTTGGAGTTGTTTGTTTAGTAGGTGGTGTCATACGAGTCTCTCAGCAGGATGACCCACACTAAAACCGGTTTCAGCTCCGGGGCTACAGTGAGGAGGAATTTTGTGGAAGTTGAAAAGTAAAACCTTCATCGTTCAGAATTGGCTTGTACAGACTTGCCTGGCACCTCCTCTCTGCTGCTGGCTGATGCTTTTTTTTCTTTTTCTTTTTTTCAGAAATGACTGAACCCTGGCTGCTGTCTGGGCCACATACTGTACCTGCCGGGCAAAGCTGTGATTAGATTTGAAAAGAACACCCACAATAAAAGCTGTGGTTAGTGTGGAGGATGGATGAAAACCGTGAATCACAGGGGTTCTTGTCTGGAACAGGAAATCTGCAGTGCTGTACAAGTGATGGATTTATACAAAAATAAAAAATAAATAAAATAAAAACAGCCTTTTCTGTCTCTGTATAGTGGAGCCATTCAGCTCCTCTTAATGCCAAATATTTCACCTTTAATGTCTCACCTGTGATGTAAAAAAGCCATTTGTAAGCTGTAATTATAAAATATTCCTGTTTGTAATTTCTCGTCTCAGAAATGTGTGTGAGGTCTTAACAGCGTTTGATTTCTGAAGGCCTGAAGAAAACGCAGAGAAAACTCAGTTCTGCTCCTGTATGCACGAATCACACTGTTAATTAAAAGCCTAGCATTCCTGGGACGCACTTCTCTCGCCAGAGTTCCAAGCTACGATCATTTTACGACAAGAAGGGACAGCATTGTGGCCAGTACGATCAAACCTGGTGAAATGAGTGCTGAAAACCACTTTAGACTTTAGCTCCATTTGTAAATCTGACTAATCTACAGCCAAGCTGAACAGCTGTGGCAGCCATCTTGATTCGAGTGGACTCAGAACATTAATCAGATGTGGAGGAGCACCCAGGGTTTCTTTTCTAAACGTTTTATTCAAATCCGTCAAGTAGTTTGCCAGCCGTTTCGCTAAACACGAACACGGACGAGAACATTATCGCCCTCGCTTGTTCGGCTGTAGATTTGACATGTGGTGCTTTCTGATGTTTCATTACTGATGGTCATTACTGGGGAAGCAGATGTGCATGTGACTGGTTATTTGGTTCACTGTGGGGGTGGAAGGGGGCATGTACGCATTTTGAAGCATGCTTATAGTGTGTGTGTGTGTGTGTGTGTGTGTGTG